TTCAGAACCCACTGAGACCCTCCTTCCTCCTGGTGGTGTAGAGTGAGGGCATCGCCTCCACGGTGACCAGCCAGAAGAACTCTGTGCAGCTGGACGGGCTGCGGCCCGAGGCTCGCTATGTGGTCCAGGTCCGCGCCCGCACCGTCGCTGGCTATGGGCAGTACAGCCGCCCAGCGGAGTTTGAGACCACAAGTGAGAGAGGTACATCCCCTCTGTGCCTATTTGTGCCCCGGCCCAGACTTTCCATCCCTCCCCCTCACCAGTGCCCTCCTGTCTCCAGGCTCCAGTGCCCTGCAGCTCCAGGAGCAGCTGCCCCTCATTGTGGGCTCGGCCACGGCTGGGCTTGTCTTCGTGGTGGCCGTGGTGGTCATTGCTGTTGTCTGCCTCAGGTACTCCCAGGCCCACGCGTGCTCCCATGCTAACTAGGGCTTTTCTTTAGTACCCTAGTGCCCAGGTGAATCACTACCCACGTCAAACCAGAGCCACAGCCTTCCCTGGGCCCAGGCTCTCCTTGCTGGAAAGGTCCTCTCCAGTCCACGTCCACATCCTCACCTGTTCCCTCCACACCCCCTGAAGCCACTGGCAGAGTGGACAAAGTCCACTGAGCCCCTTGCCCAGAGACCCAGTGGCTGCTGTCACCACCGACCTTACAGCCCGGCACTGGGCCATCCCCTGGGCATGCTACCCCTCCTGTGTGCCCTAGGGTCCCCTGAACCAAGATTGCTGCGGGACTTGTCTCAGGCCTCCTCTCCCGCCCCTCCCTCCAGGAAACAGCGCCATGGCTCGGATTCAGAATACACGGAGAAGCTGCAGCAATATAGTGAGTTTGTCTCCCTTGGTCCCCGCAGGGCTTGGAGACGCCTCCTCCTGCTTCCAATCAGTGCCATTTCCTGAGCCTCTACCTCACTCCCACCAGCCTCAGAGATGAATGAGATGTGGCCCCTGTCCTCAAAGGCAGTTAGTCCAGTGAAAAAGACAAGATGTGTATACATAGGAAACAATGAGAGAATAATTCAGCGTTAAGCTGGGTGTTCCTGTTTCAAGGGCAGTAAGGGTTCAGAGAAGAGGAAGGCTTCCTGGAGGAGGTGGCCTTGGGCTGAGCTGAGCCAGGCAGGATGAGGGTTGAGGGGGGTGTGGGAGAGCGTTCCTGGCTAGAGGAGAGGAGCCTTTGGAAGGTAGTGGGTGGGGTAGAGAGAGTGCCCAACTGTGGGGGCAGTGAGAAGACCGGCTTGACAGCTGCTGGGAAGCAAGGCTAGGTTCTTGCGGCCAGTCCTTGGAGGGTCGTGCAAGGCAGGCAGAGGAGTTGGGACTTGACTGCACCATAGGTAATGGGAAAGGCTCTCAAGCTGGGGAGTGATACAATGAAAGTATTGTTTTGGGGAGACAGGTATGCAGGTGGATCGGTGGGAAAAGTCCAGAGGCAGAGAGCCCGGCTGGGAGGCGATTGCAATAGTTGGAGTGTTGAAGGCCTGGACAAGGACAGGAGCAGTGTGAATGGGGGAGGGGCAAATGTGAGAGGTTTGGACATGATGAGAGATGAGGGTGAAAGAAGAAGAATCCTAGGTGCCTTTTATGGTCACTCGTTCTCACAGAGGGATGGTGGGAGGGAGGGGAAAGTTGTGGCTTCAACTGAGAGGACTATGGAGCTGGCTTAGCAGGGAGGTTATAGCCCGTGCTCCCGCCAAGGGTGACAGCCTGAGGGTGCAGACTGATGAGTTCCCTCACTGAAGAGCTGCCCCCTTTCACACCCACCTTTTCTTCCTCTAGTCGCTCCTGGAATGAAAGTTTATATTGACCCTTTTACCTACGAGGACCCTAATGAGGCCGTGCGGGAGTTTGCCAAGGAGATCGATGTGTCCTGCGTCAAGATTGAGGAGGTGATTGGAGCTGGTGAGTCCCCAAGGGCACAGTGGGGATGGGAGGTTGGCGGGGGGCAGCAGGGGGACCCCAGGGGAGGGCTGAGGCAGGCTGGGTATAGGAGCATTCCCAGAAATAGCTTACTACCTGTGCCCTGTGCCCTGCAGGGGAGTTTGGGGAAGTGTGCCGGGGTCGACTGAAACAGCCCGGCCGCCGGGAGGTGTTCGTGGCCATCAAGACGCTGAAGGTGGGCTACACTGAGAGGCAGCGACGGGACTTCCTAAGTGAGGCCTCCATCATGGGTCAGTTTGACCACCCCAACATAATCCGGCTGGAGGGCGTGGTTACCAAAAGTCGGCCAGTCATGATCCTCACCGAGTTCATGGAGAACTGTGCCCTGGACTCTTTCCTCCGGGTAAGAGCCAGCCTCCAGCCCCTCGCCTTTCTCCTGCCCCCAAAAGCTGGGTTGGGCAAACCACTTCCTCCCACAAGTCGCACCGACCGTGTTCAAGTCCAGGGATATTTATTAAGGTGGCCTGGTGCAGGGAACCAGCAGGGCCTTCAGAGCCAGAGAGACCCCAGTTCTCACCCTGACGCTGTCCCTACTGCCTGTGTGACGTCAGGCTTTGCTTACCTTCTGAGTCTAGCTACCCTGGCTGTAAAATGGGAGTGCTGGATCTATTTGGGTCCTCACGGGGATTGATTGAGATGTTGTATAAAGATGCCTGCCACACAGTAGGGCAGCTTCCTTACTCTCAGTGCCCTCTGGACATGGTCCCAAGGATAAGCAAAGCATAGTCTTGGAGGACTTGGAGAGGGTGGGCAGGCCGGCGTTGGGCAGGCCCTGGGCCAGAAGGGAGGTGATGGGCCTGATTCAGCTTGCTCGTTGCCTCCAGCTCAACGATGGACAGTTCACAGTCATCCAGCTGGTGGGCATGTTGCGGGGCATTGCTGCCGGCATGAAATACCTATCCGAGATGAACTATGTGCACCGTGACCTGGCTGCCCGCAATATCCTTGTCAACAGCAATCTGGTCTGCAAAGTCTCAGACTTTGGCCTCTCCCGCTTCCTGGAGGATGACCCCTCTGATCCTACCTACACCAGCTCCCTGGTACAGAAAGCAACCGGGAGGGAGTCTGGGGGCGGGGCCAACCAGGCAGGGGCTCAGGGCTGGGGATCAGCCCGGAGTCATAGGGTGAAGGGCATGTGCCCCCCTCACCAGGGTGGAAAGATCCCCATCCGCTGGACTGCCCCAGAGGCCATAGCCTATCGGAAGTTCACCTCTGCTAGTGACGTCTGGAGCTACGGAATCGTCATGTGGGAGGTCATGAGCTACGGAGAGCGACCCTACTGGGACATGAGCAACCAGGATGTGAGTGGGACCAGAGGGGTCCAGTGGGTGGGGGCTGGCTGGGGAGTGGAATGGTTGCTCACTCCAGGTTTCCCTGTTCTCGGCTCAGGTCATCAATGCCGTGGAGCAGGATTACCGGCTGCCCCCACCCATGGACTGCCCCACAGCACTGCACCAGCTCATGCTGGATTGCTGGGTGCGGGACCGGAACCTCAGGCCCAAATTCTCCCAGATTGTCAACACCCTGGACAAGCTCATCCGCAATGCTGCCAGTCTGAAGGTCATTGCCAGCGCCCAGTCTGGGTCAGTACCTCTGCTGCTGCTCTGACCTTGCTCTTCAGCCAACAGCCCTACCCCGGCTCGTTAGGACTTACCAGGTCCCTCCCTTCTCCCACAGCATGTCACAACCCCTCCTGGACCGCACGGTCCCGGATTACACAACCTTCACGACAGTTGGTGACTGGCTGGACGCCATTAAGATGGGGCGGTACAAGGAGAGCTTCGTCAGCGCGGGGTTTGCATCCTTTGACCTGGTGGCTCAGATGACCGCAGAGTAAGTGTGCCTCAGATTTGGAGGGGCAGGGCAGGGGGTCTGAGCCGGGCTCAGGGTGGTGAGCAGAGGGAGAGGGACTGACCCTGCCCTTGGCCCATCTGCAGAGACCTGCTCCGGATCGGCGTCACCTTGGCTGGCCACCAGAAGAAGATCCTTAGCAGTATCCAGGACATGCGGCTGCAGATGAACCAGACGCTGCCCGTGCAGGTCTGACACCCAACTCCCACCGGGTGTGTGTGCCCCTCAAGGATTACGCAGGGACGCTGACCGGTCGGCTGGACTATTAGACTTTTGGATGCCTGGCCTTAGGCTGTGGCCCAGAAGATGAAAGTTTGGGGAGGCCCAAGCTGGGACTTCTCCTCCAGGCCTGTGCTCCCTCCCCAGAAAGTGTGCCCCAAACCTCTTCATATTGAAGATGGATTAGGAGAGGGGTGATGACCCCTCCTCAAGCCCCTCGGGGGCCCAGGCCTTCCTGTTCTCCAGTGGGGGATCCCCACCACTTCAGACTTGGCTGTTCTTCAGTGGAGGTCCTGGCAGGAGCAGGTGGGGGATAAGCCTGGGTTCCATAGGGCCCAGCCCTGGCAGGGGTCTGGCCCCCCAGGTAGGAAGAGAGCAGTCCCTCCCTCAGGAACTGGAGGAGAGGACTCCAGGAATGGGGAAATGTGACACCCCCATTCCCAAGCCAACTGGCACCTCCAGTTTGCACAGGGACTTGTTCTGGGGGCTGAGGGCCCTGCCCCACCCCCGCCCTTGGTGCTGTCATAAAAGGGCAGGCAGGGGCAGGCTGAGGAGCAGCCCTTGCCCCCCCAGAGACTGACTCTCAGAGCCAGAGATGGTTGTGTGTGTGTGTGTGTGTGTGTGTGTGTGTACAGAGAGCGTGGGTGAGCGTGTAAAAGCTTGGCCCTGTGCCCTGCAGTGGGGCCAGCTGGGCCATCAGCGGAATAAAGGCAATAAGACGATTCTCTTGCCCCTTCTTATTCCACTCCCAAGGCAGGATTCCCTGGTGCCCGCAAGTTCACAGCCCCTGGGTGCCAGCTCTTCAGAATTTCCTGGAGTCATTGGGAGACCAGATCCAGGCTCAGCTTTCCTTTTTTGCGTTGTCATCAGTGCATCTAACTTCTTGGCAGTGGGTGATGACAGTAGAGCTCAAAGTACCCCAGAGCTCCCTCTAAGGCCCAGAGTTCCTGGGTGGAGGTCTGATTGGTGTTTTACGGACATCGTTTCACACCCATTGTCTCAAGTTGCTGAGGGTAGAGTGGGTTGGTCAGCTCCCAGGGTCACGTGGCTAAGGACAATGGTGTTTAGATGGAGAAGCCAGCTCCCCTTCAGCAAACATCAGCCCAGAAGTGTTGGCTACTCTTTTCTGAGCACTTACTATGCTCCAGGCACTGGGCTAAAATGCTTCATTTATACGCAGATCGTATTTAATCTCACAACAACCCAGCCTGGAAGGAAGTATTTTTACTCCTTTTTACAGAGGAGGAAAGAGAGAGGTTAAGTAACTTGCCCCAAGTCGCTGAGCCAAATAAATGAGGTCTGGGGCTGGGGTTCCCACCCAAAGACTGTCCGCACACTCGAAAAGTTCAGAGGATAAATAATAAGAACCAGGGAGAGGGTTAGGAAAACAGCTTCTGGAAATGTCAAGGGAGAAAATGCGGGAGGGGGGCGCAGGTGCAGTCGTTTTCCCAGGGTCAAGAGGGACCCCTGGACCGTAAACTCCGTGCGCAGCATGGAATAGGTTTCCGAGGTACCTGCACAGCCTAGATTAGAGCTTTGCTGGCTGGACCCGGTGGGGGAGGGGCGTGGACAAAGACTTCTGGATCCGACGAGGCTCCTCATACTGGATGCCTCCAGGCGGGCCGAGCCCGCAGGGGAATTCTAATTGGGGTGATAGCTAGGGGTTGGCGGGGCTGCGGGCCTGCAGGCCCGGGAGGACGGAGGCAGCCTGAGTCCGAGATTGAGGGTTTGGTTCGGTGCCCCACCGCCGGCTGCCTGGGAGGGAGAAAGGAACCCGGGAGGCGGGGGCGCAGGGAGCGCGCGCTGCAGGCTCCCCGGCCGCTCCCGCC